ATTTATCATCAAAAAGAGAAAGAAAACAGAAACAGAAAATACCAATGTGACATCAAAAACTAAGCAACACAAAAAATCTCACAACAATAGTTATTTTCTTGTTCATAAATAACTAAATATTTGCTGCATTGAATGGGAAACGAACTGCAATATTGCAATTTATGTGAAAAATTAAATCTATTAAATAAATTTGACACTCAGCCTTAATATGCATACAGCCACTAAACTTATATGACACTTACTAGTGACATATAGGTTTAGTGCATACAAATGATGTCATACAGACTGCAACTTAAAAAAATAACAAATAAAAGTAACATGATAAAATCAACAGTGAATAATTGCATCAAATCAAATCAATATATCGTTGTATGAATTAAAAAATATCACAAATTTATTAAATAATTAAAATTGTAACACGACTGATTAGTCGCCACAATTGTGTACCATCCCATTTATGCTTTTAGCTTAAGTTTTGGGAAAACTGACAATCCAGTTTATTGACCTATACCAAAACAATATACGAGTATATCTCTAACTAAACAAAAACACAAGACTTGAATATAAAAATAAGATTATTTATGCAGTACAAAGTCATAATCACCATTTTTGTTTGTTTATGGCATAGAGGGCACACGAGCAGTCACTTCACCTGATGGCAAGTGACTAACACCGACCATGAGAACCTGTAACTCCCAAGTCACAAATGCGTTGTTGTTGTTCTAACAAGCAAGTTCCACAATTTGACTAATAGTTTTAATGAATAATGCTATATCGTCCCTTAGTTACTGTAGGTATTGACAATTATAAGTTTTATTAATAACAATTCTATTGTGCTTGACGCAACTCTTGTTTTTAATTTGCTGTTCCAAAGGATTTTTTTTATAACAGTTAGAAATAATGAAAACAATTTAAAGTAGAAATGTAACTTCGACTGACGGCGAATATTTTCACAATTTTTTAATGATTTTGTTTATGTTAGGTTGTGACTAAATATTTAATTGTGATGTTTAAACACCTAATACAATGTTTTAATTAAAAAGTAAGCATAAAAATTATAAAAACTAGCTTAATAACCGTTATCACGTGACAGCAAACATCAACCAGATCCGTTACGTCACTAACCGGTAGACAAGCTGACAGCTGTCAATTGGTATTATAACATTAACTTATACTACTCGATGGATCACTATCGGTTTACTGATTAGTAGCGTAATCGAATCGAAAATTTTTGTTTTTTTTTTACAATTAAGTTTTTTTTAACGGATATTATGATTATAAAAAAGAACCATAACCTATCAATGAGTAAAAGAGAGACCAATGTTGTCATTGCGCTTAGATTATTGATGACAAAGTCCTTTTAAAAATATGTATTTAAATATTTTCATAATATTGAACGCTCGATTAAGACAAATTAATAATTTATAGTTAGCGCATTGGACTTTTGAGCAACTTAAATTTTAAATTCCGTACCTATTCTTGAATTTTTTTAGATTTTTACTTTTAATAAACAAATATTTATATTGTACATACCGGCATTTAACATGACTAAGTAAAACTACACAGATAAACCTCTAGGAAATGGCCACTAATTTCCAATTCATTTTTCTCACTCGGCCAAAGATAATACATACAAAGATTTTACAGTAATATAGACAGGTACGTATTTTATAGAAACTCGGCTAGTTTTGAGCCCGACAGGGATTCCTAATCAATGTGTTGATTATAGAAGTCTGAACGTTATTCACTCTGCGTGCTTTAGGTCATGAAGTCAAAAAAACGACAAAAACATGATATTTATGTGAATTATTATCGCGGCGACATTCAATTTGGATCAGTCATTTCACATCAAAAAAAAATTAAGAATGAATTTCTATTTTGTGTTAAGTACAATATATTTAAGAACATAAATTACATATTTAAGTTAATTTATGCTTGAAAGTGTGCAGGCGGCCATTTATGGTTAAATGTTAATTAAATGGCCGCCTGAGCTGATTACCGATATATTTTATATTTCATATACATGTATTATAATAATGTTATTTTACAGCGACTATCATCTATCTAGTCTGATATTTAAAAAATGAGAATTTTTATGCAAACTGTATATAAAAACCCAATAAAATAATACTAAGTATGTTTTTCATAGATATCGAACTGATATACCTTCGCTTTTTGCGTGAACAATAGTAACCATTAAACCAATTCTTTAAGAATTTTAATTTAATCACAATAGCAGTAAGGTACAAGTCGGTGACGAGCAACAGACTGCAGCAGACGGCATTGGAACTTGCAGTTCTTTCACAGCATAGAAGGCACAAGAGCAGATGAGTCGTGTTATGGTGACTGTCGCCACCCATGGACACTTGCAACTAATGCATTGCAGCCCTTTGAGTCCTCCCCCCAGAATTAGGAGGTAGGGGGTTTGGAGCTCCGGTAACTTCACTCACTTGGTGTAAAATCCGTGAGTCCGTGGTAGCGCTCCGGTGGCCCATTTGTGCTGGAGCATAGCTATGCTTGCTTCCAAGGCTGTGGTCGACCTCGAGAGTTACTGCCGACCTTCTTTTTTGTTCGGTGTAGTACCAGGATTCCCAAAGTGGTCGATATCGACCCCTTGGGCCCATAAACGAAAACCGATTTTAGGGGTCGATGAAGTCTAAAATCGACCTCTAATTATTAACACAAGTTCTTATTTCAAGATACTGTATTAATGATTTTTAACGTTTTGTAATTAACGTTATTTGTATTAAAAAATATTAATTACACTTGATATTTACTAAATCTAATGTCTTTTGGTTAAATTTTGATGAGAAATTGATGTCCTGATTACTCACTTAACCAAACGTCAAGTTTTCAAATAGGTAAATATTTTCTATTAATAGAAAAAACACTAGAGATAGGATTTTTAAAGTTATTTGGCTATAGGGGGTCTGCGGTATCAGTTCGTTTAAGAAAAGGGGTCTCTTGCCCAAAACAGTTTGGGAATCCCTGGTGTAGTGGGATAAAGTCGGGAAAATCTAATTATATTTAATTTAAAACCAGGTCCATAGAAGGAAGTTATGCCTCAAAAACATAAGATAAAAAGGTTAAAAAGTATTCTCGTAGAAATGCTTTTTTAGAGGACTATACGTCTGAGCTCTTTGAGGTCCGCGTCACTACTAGAACTGTGGTAGGTTTGCTACAACCGCATAGTACAATGCCATCGTTGAATATAAACATGTGGCATCGCTTGCAGTTTGCAGTTTGCCTGGGACTTATACCTTAAAACTATACAATTTTGAGTTTTCTTTTAACTTATAATACCATATAAATTATACAATGTCCTTATAATACATAATCAATCGTACTTAACTCCAATTGTAGTCTATTAAATGTCTTTTAAAATTATATACCTTACAATCTTTCAACAAGTCATTATAAATTGTTATGGGAAAGTAATCCTACATTTTGAATACATAAGACATTAATTATTTGTTCAAATATTAAGTTTTAAGGCCTATTGCGACTAATTACTAAGTTTCGTTACCTAATTTATTCAAAGGCCTAGTTTTAAGTACAAATATATTATCGATTGAGGCCAAGTCGAGGGTGTGGCTTATAGTTTAGATAGTCATCCAATGATATTTTAAGGAAGATACGTTATATTCATAATGCACGCACAAAATATATGTTCCTTAACAATATACATAAATATATTAATGCATTTTAGAACAAAACATACGCTACAAGTGCGATAGGTAATAGGGTAAGCATAAGAGTGAAAGAGACAGCAATTTGTTATCAGTACAGAAGGCATTTTATGAATTTTCTCGTAGTAATTAGTACGTGCGCTGGAAGTGGTTCTAATTAGGACCCTCGCGTTTTGTGCGTTGGTGTCGTATTTACCTCTTGTTTGTATATACGAGTAATACCATTGTAGTCATCTATAAAAAACTGATGTATTTATTTGTAAGCTCTTTACTAAATGCATACAAATGTTTAGACTGCAATTTACTGTACTCACAAAACGATTTGATTTTGTCGTCTATTTATATTTTGCCCTATTTCTACAAAACTTTCATAGCATTAGCTATCAGCCAGTGAAAGGAGTATACTTCCAGAAACAGACAAGAAACTTTATTACTTAGTATATTTCGTTTTTATATTAGAACTGATTAATGCTGTTGGCGTAATAGTCATAATTTTTGTGGGCATATTTTATATGAAGCCACACCCAGATTCGGTCATAAAAATTCTAATTTAACTATAATCCCTGTTCACACATATATTGTATAGAACCAATATCTTTATATTATATATTTACATTTACATTTATTTACATTTATATATTTATATTATATATTTACGTCTATAATTCGTGGAATGATCCTTGTTAATATAATTTAGTTAATTAACTACCTATTTTATTAATGTAATAATTTTAAACAGACAATTTTTTTAAACATTATTTCTTTAAAACAATAATTAAAAAACGGCCCGTATGAAACAGTATCTAAACGAGAATAATATGCTGCCAATTTTACTAATTAGATAATAACAAAAATATCAATAAAACAAATCTATAAAAAAATATAGATTTTTACATAACTTCTCAACAGTCAAATTAAATAAAAAGACACAACTTGAAAAAATCAGGCCTTTCTGTTGTCATTACACACTTCGTAATCTTTCGGTTTGCTAAACAACTTTTTACTATAAAAAAAAGACAGAACCGAAACAAAAAAAGCCGAAGTGCAAAATCGAACAATTTGTTGGAATAAAAACTTTTATGAGTATTCATATTTATAAATGATAAACGATTTTACACACTTACTCATAGATCTGCTACAACTCCAATTTTTGAACACAGTATGCATCGCCTGAAACCGACACGCGGAAGGTCGCTTCACTCTTTGATATATCCCCCCATCGGGTCCAGTCCCGTAAACCCGTTTAATCTTTATAAATATAAAACTTTTTATGTTTAATTCTTCCATTTATAAAAAAAACCACAACACTTATCATTTAGGCCGTATTTTCTCGTAAAAATAAATTTGCGCCACATTATTCGCTTCCCGAGCCAACAATTTTCTCTTAACAAAATTGAACTGCTCCAACGCGAACTCGTACAATTCGTTCTCCATCTTCCACACTGTCGACTCTTGTATCTTCTCCACTGTCAAACTGTTCGGTTCTATTTTAGCACTGGTCTGTCTCAAGTGAGATTTGTTGCTGTTTAAGTAATACTCTGTGGCCCCTCTGAAGAACCGAGGTAGTGTAGCCTCCAGGACTGTTATAAAGTCGAGCATTTGTTCGGTTACACCCACGATGAGATAATGGTTGACTAGATTATGTTTCGCCTGTTCTAACGCCCATTGGTTGCCTGGTATCCTAAAATATAATGTATTTATAGTAACTTTTGTATACATTTAGAGTTTTTGTGAAAAAAACGAGCAACCAGAATACTAGTAATGTGTATTACTAGAATTCTTCAGGTCACATATTTTAGCCTGTTTTAGTCGGTTCGATTCTGACACCGAAACACGGAGGAAGGGAGGAATTTTATAGGTATAATTTCAAATTGTTACTAACATCTCTGAGTCTTAATTACTGCAATAAATAATTTATTATTATTATTAATCAAGTAGTTGCTGGTTCGAACTACAACTTAATTAAATTATTTAACTACCGACGTTGCTAGTGTGTAAAAATTCTTTTGGGCCACCATGCCGCGGTATGCCGTGTTTCGATGCGTCGAAATCGAACCGACTACTACAGGCTAAAATATGTGACCTGAAGAATTCTAGTAATACACATTACTAGAATTCTGGTTGCTCGTATTTATAACAAACACTTTAAACTAATATTAGTGGTTGTTTACACCACTACGCTAAGGTAGTAAAGCTAACTGCCTAGAGAAGTTGCCTCATAGAAAAATAAAACAATATAATTTACTGGGACAAATAATTCGAACGGATATTACAAGACTCCGCCATCCCATAGTAACTTTAATAAAAATATGTATTCCATTACAGTGTTTGTTTAAAAAGCAGTTGACCTTAATTACAAGAGCCAGTAATGCGTGTGTTCAAATTACCACTAATCTAGGAACATACAGTCGCACACAATAGCAATAATTTAAAAAGAAACGGAACAAAATACTTCTAAGATATTAATTTAATATCGTATACTTTGTAGGTAATGATCTCCACTCGAATACCTATGAATTACGTTGATAAAACGTAATATTTATAGTTTATTATTTGAAGGAAACTGGGTCGTTCACAATCAGCTGTTGTTGTCAGTGAACAGATCCAAAAATAGCTTGTCTGGAATCCATTTTTTATATACATACACTTTTGTACACAATTTAATCATGCTGTATACCCATAATATACATATAATTATTTTTTTCCAACTTTCAGCCGTATCGTAGTTGACTTAAAGACGACCCTAAACTAGTTTGAGATAAAGGCTCGAAGGATAAGGAATATAGACAGACTACTAGTAGCATGCGTCACAAATCCCCTTCGGCCGCCATCGAAACCGAGGATCCGTAACAGGAAAAAATGATATTTGTACTAAACCAGTTTCGAACCAGGATTATTTTTCCTTTTATGAAACTTACTAGTTATGAAGACGTATACATGCAAGGGAGGAAATATTGCCTCTTATTACTGGACCTTGGGACACAAACTCATGATTTATGAAATACTGATCAGTTATAATTATTTATTTGTGTCAAATGTCTAATAAAATCTGTCCATTATGTTTGTCCCGTGAAAGTAGTTATATTTAGATACAATAAAAAAAAACGACGGGTTGCACTTCGGGAGTGCCGGCAGAAGTGAAAACTTGAATATTAACGTTGTGCATTTTTGATATTTTGGAATGGTTAGGGAATAATTTTGCACGAATTGCTTTAATTATCAGTATAAAAGTACTATCATTTATGTGGTAGAATACAATATTTATTTATTGCGCTATCCTACACAAACATGACAATTTATCGAGACGCTGTCACCATTCATGGATTCTCGTGGCACGCTGTACCTAACATAAACACACACGAACATTCGCGCAAGCGCCCTGCGCCGCCTAACCGAAACAGCAGGCGCAGGCATACATTTTCGCCGCGCCGTAGAAAGAGAGGGGGCTACTTCCTCTCCTACGCCGCGCTGGCTGTCTACTCTCCACCGTTTTACGAATTTTCGATCAGGTCACGTGTCCTGACGCGAGTTTAACATTTTTTACCCATTACAAAAAAGTGTACAACGCCGCTAAAGAAGTTTTCACTTCAAAAACGAAACTATTAAAAATAAATTCCTTGTACGTAACCGTGGTTTCGTTAAAAGAAAAAACAATCCTGGTTGGAAACTGCTTTCGATGGCGGCCGAAGTGAACAAATCACTGGTATACTTATTAACAACTCTCATCATCATTAACAGCCTATAACAGTCAACTGCTTGACATAGCCCTCTCCTTAGACAGGAGGTTTTGGTCTACTATACCACGCTGGCCAGACGGGTTGGTATAGGGTTTGTTTCAACTATTCCTTCTCTTCGCAGTGCTGTTGACCTGCGTAGTTTAGTCGTATCTTACGATATCCATGGGATGAATAGAATTAAAACTCTAGCCAAATTAAATGGTTGGGTTTGGATATATTCGGTTAGTGGCCACCCGTGGAGGGGCGAGGTCCGCGTGTGCCTGGACGTGCCGTGGAGCGGTTTTAAAAACCAAATTTTATTAATTCCTTAAAATCCTTCGTTTTTACCATCAGGGGCGGACTTATTTCTTGGAATATAAATAAGAACAAGCGGGAAGTATAACGTTCTAATTATAACACTTAAACAAATCGGTGTATGTTACGAAATAAACATAAAAAATACAGCCGAATTCAGAATCTCCTCTCCATTTAAGTCGGTAAAATAAATGCATTGACGAAGTGGTATTGCATCGGTGGAACTGATTTTTATCACTTTATATCTTTACAGCACACAATAATGATAGCTTATCTTACTTTTCTAAGTAACATTATTCATAAGATTTTTGTAAAAATAAAGACAACTTGAAGTTTTACATTTCTTTTAAACGATACGAAAAATGATAATGTATGTTTCATACAATGCGATATGGCTTTCATAGTGATTATGTTATTAGTTTACTGTAATAACTTGGTAAACATAGAATCAATTTTGAGTACTATTATGAACCCTCCCCCCTAATTCTGGGGGTAAGGGACCTATAAAAAGCATGACATTCTGGTATATAGGTATATTTCACAAAAAAAGTACAGAATATAAAATAGTACAGAACATTTCTGTACTATTTTATTGTCACACAAACACACACAAATATTTCTTTTAATAACAAAAAGTAAGAAACATATATTTTACTAGCTGGTGCCCGCGATTTCGTTCGTGTGGAATTTGAAAAGTGCTGCCCTAGTGGGTTCGATTCCCGAACCGGTCCAAATTTTTTAGGGTTTTTCTGAGAGAAAAATAACCTAAGTTAGGTATTCGGAACAAACAAACAGACAGACAGACCGTAAGACAGACAGACAAAAAATATTTAAACTATTTTTTAGCCATAGGTATCGCGCAAATAACCGTATGAACATGAAAAAATCCTATTATTTTGACATTACAAACAGACACTTCAATTTTATTTAATTGTTTTCTGAAAAAGGATGGCAAATCCATTCAAAAAACTATTTTTTTTTTTACTCAAATGAACATATAAATTGTACATAGTTTGATTGGACACTTTTAACTTTTTTAGAAACTATTACAATATATAAGAATGCAGCGTTTCTTACCAGCACTCGGCAGCATGTCCACAGAAGAAGGGCACTTGGAGCCACATATTGTTGGGGTCACAGTCTGGCTGGGACCGCTCTACACACTCGTCGAATGTCTGCCAAAAAAAATACATAAAAATTTAAAATGAAATGTATTAATTTGTAGGTAAGTTGTAATAGCGATACAAAGGGCCTGCACTGACTTCATTAGAACAGAAGAAAAAACAAACCGGTCGGGTACGAGTCGAACTTATGCGCCGAGGATTCCGTACCTACCCAGATTATACGTCAATTTTCGCGAAAATTTGTAAGTACCAAAATTTATATTAATAATCAAACTTTTTTATTATTTTGGAATGATTTCTTTATTTGTGCTGTAAGACGTTTCTTTTTGCCAAATTTCGTGATTCTAGGTCAACGGGAACTACCAGATGAGGTTTTCGACCCAAAACCTATAGGTTACTTCCGGTTGACCTAGGATTTGACAATTTTGGTTAAAAGCAAGGTCTTACAGCACAAGTAAAGACAAAATTCTACTAATTGGGACCATAGACCTCAGTATATGGTATAAATTTCAACTTGCTAGGTCTACCCGTTCCTGAGAAAATCGGTGTTGACACACGGACAGACGGTCAGATGGACAAGACACTGATTTTATAAGAGTTATTTTTATACCTTTTGAGGTACGGAACCCTAAAAATGAAAAATATATCGATATAAACTCTTTTTCAACACTAACTCGTAAACTATCGTGCTCCACGATATGTATAAAAGAAGAAACTCAGACGTCAGATCCACGTACAGCTGAAACCGCTGGGTCTAGAAGCATGAGATTTTGAACAAATGTTCCTTAGGCGACGTAGGTGTCTACTAAGAAAGTTTTTAAAAAATTCTACCGAGAGGGGTGCAAAATGGGGGCTGGAAGTTTTTATGTCTTCGTTATTTTTGGTAGAGGCGATTTAAAACTCACAGTAGACTCTTTATTAGGTATAAAAAGGGGTGCAAGTTCGTATGGGGAACTTTTTTTTTTAACTTATCGATTCCAAACTCTAAGTATTCATTTTTTTTAATTCTCTATCAATGTTGTATCCTCAAAAGCTAGTACATAATTATGTTTACGGGAATTAACGTGCGTGATTAACGATCACGATAGGTATAAAGACCTACCTTTAAATACCTGAAGCTTGGACCAGGTTGCACTGGCCGAGGTCACAGGCCGACTTAACGTGGCTGTCTTTATCAAAAATACAAAGTAAACGCGTTCAAATGTGATCTATTTCGTACAGGATGTCTACATCTAGTTTGATTATTTTACGAAGATGTGAGGTCAACATGACATCAGTCATCGGTCAGGACACTCACAATATGGTTGATTAGTATTATACATATTAATGTTATATCAATATTGACAAACAATAAGAAGAAATCGTGAAATAAAATCCTGGGAGAGCTACTCTTCGGCAAATATGGGCCGGTTCGACCGGAGTGATCCCACGGCAACAAACAACCGGTGTCTGCGCCAAAAGTAAATTTTAGTTTAACAAAGAAAAAACACGCTTTTGAAATTGACTTCACGGATAGCATTGTGGTTTAAGCGGTCGGCCACGCCGCCACCCCTATTCGGTCACCACCTACATTCATTTCGTCGCGGTCGTATGAACCGACTAAGAGAGCAAACTACGCAAGACAACAGCAGTGCAAAGAGAAGGAAAACTTGAAACAAACCCTATACTAACCCGTCTGGACAGGGTGGTATAGTCGGCCAAAACCTCCTTTCTAACGAGAGGCCTATGTCTAGCAGTGGACTAGTAAAGGCTGATGATGATGATGGTTAAAAATGATTATTCTTTATGAATAGTTATTATCACTGACTTACCTATTACCTAGTATTTACTTAGTAGGAAAATGACGACGAGAGTGATCCTTTAAGGCGTCACCCTCAAAGAACACTAACTAAAATCAACCCTAGTATTACTAAAACCATTTGCCTATATAGTTATTTAACCTAAGTTCAGGTTTCAAACATTATTTCGTATTAGCGTACCTTCCTATTAAGTCTAAGTGTTAGTACAACGCAAAACCTATACAAAAATAATAGCTACGAAGGTTAAAACACAGATAGCAACCTGAATCAACGGCGTTTATCGACTCGAGATGAGAAATAACTATTTATAGATACTTCTGAGAAACCATTTGACATCATTACATGTTGTACATACATAATGTATTCAAACTTATACTTATTGGAGTAGTTACACATGCGTTATGCGTATTATTATTGATTTTTCCTCAAAGAGACAAAATAAACAGTCTCTACTGATGTCTAAAGGTTATACACTCACGTCTTTTATCCCTGAAGGGATAGACAGAGGGGTATAAGGTGGCCAAATTTTGCCAACTACAATTTTATTCCTGTTCACTTAATAGGTTGCAAGTATATTGCCGTGTGGTGACGGATTAAGAATACGGATTGTCACCACCCCTATTATACTTTTGGTGTCATAAGAGTCGACTAAAGGAGCAATTACACAGGATAACAGCACTGCAAAGAGAAGGAAAACTTGACACAAACCCTATACCAACCCGTCTGGCCAGCGTGGTATAGTAGGCCAAAACCTCCTGTCTAAGGAAATGCCTATGTCCAACCAGTGGACTATTAAAGGCTATTGATGATGATAATGCTGTCAACTAACATACGAGTACTTATATATTGCCAAATATATAAGTACTCGTATATATATAGTTAGTTATTAGTCCATAGTTTTTAGTCGGCCTATCCATACAGACGGCATTACAGCCTTCCTTCAATCGCTTAAAAAAGTTTCATTATGTCACTCCCTTCAGCGATTCTAATCTAAAAACATAGCCAAAAAATAAAGAAAATTATACTAATTACCATTTTATCACCATGTTTTTTTCGCACCAAATGTGGTCTATAATTATCACCGTTCCTTAGAAAATAGTAATAGGATACAAGTCTATCAAGAGGTTTTCTTATTAAATTAATAAATATTGGTTTTGACGTGGCTCCCAACCTGAAAATTATAATCACGAATTAACAATGTAATGGAACTGATCATAGATCACAAAACACGAGGGGTGTTAAACATTAATATTGACTTCATACATCTAACACACAGCAGTCTGATCCCCAAACTTGGCAGAGCCTGTGTTGTGGTAACCAGACTACTGATAAACATATATTTCTAAATACATACATATTATAGATAAATTACACCCAGACAGAACAAATAATCTTGCTCATCACACAATTATTTGTCTTGGGAGGGAATCAAACCCACAACCTCCGTCTTCGCAGTCAAGGTCACTAACATCTAGACCAAAGGGCCCGTCAAATATTTTTTTGACCAAAACCTCCTTTCTAAGGAGAGGCCTATGTCTAGCAGTGTACTATTAAAGGCTGTGAATATGTGTGATGTGTTATATTTCAAACCCCTAGGAACAGTTCCTTCTTCCAAATAAAAAGTACTCTATTTTCTTTTCTGTACCCATGACAAGATGTTAGTTAAATTTCATACTGATTCCTTAGGTAGTTAACACATAAAATCATAACAAACAAACTGACTTTGAGATTTATACCACACTAGCTGAGACCCGCGGTGTTACCCGCTTTTGTTGTTATAACTGCGGGCAACGACGCAGGGCATAGCTGGTCTAAAAAAGTAGCCTTAGTTACTCCTTATGTCATCAGCTATCTGCCAGTGAAAGTCCCGTCGAAATCGGTCCAGCTGTTCCAGAGATTATCCGGAACAAACAGACAGACAGACAGACATTCAAAAATTGAGAAAAATGGTATTTTGGCATATGTACCATGTAAACATACATATGCATTTAGTAAAAAGCGGTTATTTTAATATTACGAACAGACACTCCAATTTTATTTATTTGTATAGATAAGATTGTAATAAATTCATCTTAAAGCTAATAAATCCCATAGATATTATCTATAGTAGATACCCATATTAGTAAGCAATGTCAAATGCCAAGGCCAATGCCTTTAAAAAGTTCTGTAACTCAGAGCCTGTCTTGCTAACTCACAAACAATGTGTACATTTATATTTAATTGAATCATCTATTTGTAATCTAACAATGACACCTTTTTTTCCACTCCAATGTTGACATGGTAAAGTCAATTAGTGGTTCAATTTTGACCAGACTTTTCTGTCTAACTAATTATAGGTGAATACAGCACGCCATTCAGTACAGTTACAGTGAAGAGGACAATTCTAGATTTGAAATTCAGGCAGTTAGTGTACAGATTCAATTATTATTATATCATATGTCATTACAGTAAAAGTTAAGTTTAGAAGACATGAACAAAAAAAGAGCTAAGGTTTGAATCTATAATCTAATTTACTTATGAGGTAAATAAAACTTACTTAGATTGAAATAAGGTTGGACCATTTTATTTCAACATATTAATAATTACTTAAACAGCTAATAAATAAATAAGTGAAGCACTATTTTTTGACTTACCTTTCAAAGTTGAGGAAGGCCATATGGCCATGATAGAGGGCAGGCTTCATCTCATACCATTTAGTAACATTCTGAGCAAACTTGTACTGATTGCTTAGAGACATGATATGTCTGTTGGCAGTAATGTTGATATGTAATACTTTAAAGTTATTTCTCTTACACAAATCATATGCTACTCCGACGAAACTCGTGGATCCCGTTTTCGGGACCCTGTTGTATATCACTATAGAGTCATCATCATTTTTCTCTAAACTTTTTGGAAAAAACTGGCGAGATTCTGAATGTGTTTGAAGAAGTCTGAATTCTGCAAGAAGAGCATATTTCTAACTGAGTTACACTGTAAAACACACACTAAATATGTCAAGAGTGACGTGCTTACCTAATTTTCGGTAATTTTCTTCTAAACGAGCGATCTCTGATTGAAAATAAAGAACAATAATAACAATAACGCACAGACAAGAAAACAGACATAGTTTGTTTATGTTGAACATATCTGAACACTGCCGGTCCGTGCAACTTCACGCTGAAATCAGCACTGGCATGTTTTACTAGCGTACATTATAAATAAACATTATTTGGGGCACGTAGTAATGAAAAATAGTTCATTGGACGACAAACGCCATGTAATAACTTTCCGCTACTGTATTAGAAATCTGGCGCATTGTTAACATTCCTGTGATATTTCTCCTTCTAACAAAACTATGTTAGACAAAGATAGCAATGACATTTATGCTACCATGGCTATTTTGTGATACAATACAGGTGTGATATGTCAACACTGTCACGGTATTGACAGTAGTGTCACATCACATTTACAAAGCTTGTTTTAGAAATGAAATGTGTCATCAGTGATATTTACTGCATTAGATATATTATCTGAATAGCTGTCTGTATGTATATGTACAAATATGTATTATAAGGTCTATTCAGTAATTGTTTTTTAACGTTTCAGTAGTAATGCCAAAAAGTAACCAGGTAAGAATGTACCGTGGCTACCTACATTTCCCAGCCATCCTACGAGAGGTCAGGCAGCCAGTACACGTCGAGCGAGTACGTGTTGAAGTCCTCATTTTCGGGATCAGGTCGAGATGCATGCGAAGCGTATAACCGGCCACAGAAGCTTTCTACTTCCAAAAGGACTAAGGATAAGTTGTAGTGATAATTTCCAGTTGTTGTCCAGACAATGGCACTTTACGGTGTTACGGTGTGGGCAGAGCTCTGATCGCCCAGAATATGTCGCAGCTCTATCATCCTCAAAGGGTGGTGGCATCTGCCACTCCCTAAATCTAAGATTTAAAGGCGGAAAAGAGTGGCTGAACGTCGCTTGGGAAGCCACGATGACTCGTCAATGGTCGTCCCGTCAAGAGGCGTCTGGCTTTGGCGCCGTGGAGGCGCTCCAGCCAGTCATCGTCTAGTGAGCGGTGTGGCAGCACGGAACCCTATCCTTCTGACTGACACAGATCTTGTCTGGTCACGTTTGCTTGGGGAGGTACCAGCAGCCGATTTCTAGAAGTGAATTGAGTTGCGCATGTCACCACAGCAGTGCAGTTTGAACAGGACTCAGCACTCACTGGTTAACGTAGCGTCGGGCGCTCATTTCAGTCATGGAAGAGCATTTCTCGCTACTAGCCGTTACACGCTCCGTGTTTGGCACGCCTTCCATTCTGAATGTGGTCGCAGGCACAGGTTTCCCCCCCACTCGCCACGAAAGCCACGACGGCGCGCGGCATGGCGCATCGTGAAAATCTCTCTGGTTCTCGAGGTTTCTTTGCACAACTCTGAGACCTTGTTCTTTCATGGGTGGCCTAGGGGGCTACCTGAGGGATCCAGTCTCATAGTAGAAGGCATTCGCATCGACATCGAACCCTCGATGAGGTATCCGAGGCTTGTACTGGGTTGGGATTGTGAGACCCAAGGAATCGCGGACTAGAAATCCCAACTTTGCTGCGTCCTCGTGGAGAAGTGGAGGGAAGGACTTGCCCGAAAATCGCCGGGCACTATAGCCATAGCGTTAAGACCCGTTATGGAGCATTGTTTCGAGAGGAAACACGGGACCCTCTCATACCCGTTGACGTAGGAGATTACCTGTATCTGATCCGTAAGGAGCGCCTGGTTACTACCATTGCGGTGGCCATAGCGTGGACACGGCCCTTCACACGCTGCTAGAATGCCCGGCGTTGTGTGGGTGGAACAGAGGCACGGCTTTCTGACGGCCATCGGAGTGAGGATTATCTATCTCGGTACTCGGAACTCCACCACCTCTTTCTGCGAGCAAGTTTTGCTCGAGAAGAAGAGGGTGGAGCAGGACCTGAAGGGGCTTAGAATTCTCCCAGTCTGTCAGGCCCAGGAACGGGTCAATTACTGCAGACGGCTCAGGCGACAGAGGTAGCTAAATGACTTCCATTCTGCAAAAGTGCGGGTCTGGGACAGATAAGGGCATCTGTTACTTATAAAAAAGAAAGACCTGGATGTCTTAATAAAAGCTGTTATCGGATTCCTCATATTTCAGGCGCAGTGTGAGGTTTTAGTCGGTTCGATTCCGATACACCGCCCACCGCAAACCCCGGTGCGGTGACAGCTCATTGGAGATACCACACCGTAAAAAATAAGTTTGTAAAGAAAAGGCAACTAAAATTTTGGAGTAATCACTATCGCACATTTAGTAACGTCAAATAGTAATAGTATTGCCCTCTCGTTCGAGGAAGTTGACAAGTATTTGCCCCCCATGATTCCTGCTTCCAAATCCATGGGATCTTACTACCGATTCGCTGCAATTCTGTACTGCCACTTTAGCGTAGAAGTCACCCATAACAACGTTGTAATGGGTCTTAGTGGTAATTTTTACACAAAATCAAGTTCAAAGATTCAATTGAATAGGGGTGGTGACACTCTGTATTCTTAATCCGTCACCACGTACATCCGTGGATGCAGACCGCTTTCTCCTTACCTTCTCGAACGACATTAAATAATAGGAGGTAGTCAATGTCCTATAGCATGAAAATGAGATCCATATGATGATGATGAGAATAATATTTTTTTTACTATATTTGTTACTATATTGTATCATAGTCTACGCGCAAACAGTATCTCGGTATCTGTTTATCGAAACAATATACAAATTAAGAGTGTAGTTTCAAATTATGCAATGCTGATGATATCACAGCATGAATAAGGACAAAGTGGGTATGTCATTTCCTAGGTTCCGCTAAGCCACCATAACTTAATGGCTGTACTGACCAAGGTCACGTAAGCTAATTTTCCAGATGTGAATGGCGCTCCAATTGGTTATAATCTATGTGTCAATGAAGATGCTCCCCGAAAGCACCTTCATTGGACTCTTCTTTTTTTTCTCCGCTTTCAGGACAGTCAATACTTGAAGTTTGATCAGTTTGGCTAATGCAGTTCTTCTCCCTACTGTTGTGGTAGTCATGTTATTCATGGCGTTTTACGTGGAAGAAGTAAGGGATTTGAAGGAAGGGTCTTCATGCTGATCGCATTCTAAGTCAAAAGGTTTTTCAAACACGAGTATAATACATTATTATCTAGGAAATATATAACCCTAATGTCCAGATGGGTATTGTATCGTCTACTCATAATAGCCAATGCCTTAATATACAGTTCGCTCGCAACCTCGCTTGGTGGATTTTCGTATACTTATTGTTACAGTACCAGCAGTGCACTTATTTGACGCGCAATGTTGGGAAAATCTAGGCTCACCATGAGGATCTACACGAAATTTCATATCTAAACTACCGTAAAACATAATAAAAAAAACGACAATACAACAGCAGGGCCTAGCACAAGCATGGCCAATGCACAAAAGTGACAAAACAAGCAGGAAACACGGCCCGTACTTCAAGGTGAATCCTTTACAATAATTCTCTCAGTGTCCAATGGCGCTCTGCCCCACGCACCCGGGTGCGCGCGAAAGATAGCCGCTGACATTAGTTAAATTAGATTTCCCGCTAAATGTGGGTCACAAAACAAATGCGCTCTATTTATTACGTTCAGAAATTGTAATGTTTGATGTGAATAAATTATAATTTATAACAGTGAACTATGTGATGTCTCACCTTTGGTAATATATTGTTGTATATTATTTTTTATATAATGATATTTATAAAAGATTATAAGTCACATGTAGGATTAAAAAAGACCGACACACGTTACGTTACGTTCTTTTTGTCTCTGAAACTTTTAATATTATTATACATTTCGGATTGTTTATAAATTCATTAAATCATATTCTACAGAATATTATCAACAGAGGTGTTAGTAAAATAAAAAAAAACTTTCCCTAGTGTTATTTGTTTTTTTCTGAAATTAAAATAATCTACCATATTATCGATCTAACTTAGAAATTACTTGAACCAAGTTGCCATACCTTCCAAGAATGAACTTATTTAGTAACAGGAAATCCGAACAATATATTTATTAACATTTATAGAGCAATTAAAATTAAACCTTAATTTAAGTCAGTAAGGTTCTACACTAAAAGGATTTGATCTTATAAACATATAGGCATTGTTTTGACGTTTCCTTTGCCGCTATAATCGGATCTTGATTAAGTTGGCACGTGCTGATTTATCAACATTGGTTTAACTTTATGCTAAAAATGTTTCAGCATTACATTTGAACTGGCGCGTGATTTCATAGTTTGTTGATGTTCACAGGAACAAAATAACTTAAGATAATAATTAACCCTAAAGAAAAAGTAATAACGAACTCAGGTCAGGAACACAGCACCAGGGATTTCCTTTCTAGGGTATACCTGGTTCCCCGGCTATTAGTACCCGAGACGGAGTGCGGTTTTAGTCGGTTCGAGTCCGACATGCCACCGACAGGTGGTATCCGAGGGGTTTAACGCACGGAAAAAAAAAAAACAGGTGCCTGAGAGATGTAGTCATATTTTCGGGCCGACTAGTCTGTTTGTCCCTTAAATAACTCGGCGTTAAGATTTTTTCTAAAAAACTGACTTTGAATACAAAAACGTCGTTATGAAACCAACATTTTAAGTATTGTCCTAAAAAGAACTTGATTGATCTAGTGGTTAATGGCCCTACACAGAGGTTTTAGATTCGATTCCCATCCAGGACAAATATTTGTATGATGAAATAGGGTGTCTGGGTGTAATATTTCTATAATATGTATGTATTTAGTAATATTTAAATATGTTTATAACAATCTGGTTACCATAGTACAGGCTCTGCCTTGTTTGGGATCACACGGCCTTGTGTGATTACCACACAATCGCTTGTGAGGTTATTATTATTATTATAACTATATTTTACGGCTTATACATATAAATAATTACTTGATACGAGTCATCTATAGTCCGTCTGTAGTTTATCTATATAATTAGAGATCCGCCCCGACTTCGCACAGGTGCAATGTAGATCCAGTAAATCTACTAATACTACTAGAGGATATCTTTATATACAATATAACAATATAGATATTTATAGGCCGTTCTACTTCTACCGGCCGCTACAACCTAAGACGGACGTCCGAGCCGACGATGGCCGCTTTCCCCCACATTTTAAATCTCTGATATCTCCTAAGATATTCATTTTATTGATATGCTGTGAAGGTCAATTTTGATTTACATTAAATGCACAACGTATCAAACATTTTCAATTGGATAAGGAATAATACTGTATTTTGCATAGCTTCGTAAATAACTCATTATTAAAAAAAAAATGGTTACTATGGGTTATCCTTAGGAGATATGACTGCACGGATGGCGTAGTGGTTTAAGCGATCGCCACGCCGCTTCCTACTACGCCGAGTGTTGTGGGTTCAAACCCCACATGGGACGACACTTTGTGTGATCTACAAATTATTGTTCTGAGTCTGGGTGCTCTTTGTGTCATTTTCATGTGTGTTTGTAAAGTCCCCGCGACACAGGATATATTCCTAATGCGGTAGTTGTCTTTTTAAAAGTGAAGAGAAAAAAGACAGATATACCATAGCCAATCACTATTGATGAAAACCGCATTAAAACCCGTTGCTTAGTTTAAAAGATCTAAGCGTACAAGAAAAAAAGCGACTTCATTTTATACTATGTAAATATACGTATATATTTAGTGTGTAGTCTAGTTCAGGCTCGGCCTATTTTGAAATCAGACCTGCCGTGTGTGAAGTAACTCAAGTTATAATCATAATTAGCGCTCCAAAAATGACTTCATGATGAATTAACCACACTTTTTTGACCCATCCCTCTAAGCAACTAATAGAACTCCCAAACAATATTACCATAAAAATCAATCAAATGGTACGAGTAAGGGAAATGAGAAATGAAAGGGGCGGTTGAACAAAAATAGACGTACCTCATCTCATCCCTCAAATTTAGGAAATTGGACTCGGAGTGTATTACTTGCCATGAGTCAGTGCCTTTGGAATATACCTACCACTTTTTAAGGGTACGGTCTATTAATAATTATACAAAAACGTACATTCAACGATTCATTTTTTTTTGAATTCTTAATTTTTTTTCTGTGTTATTGTTCTCCTGTAGAAATGTAATTTATCGTTTATAATTCTCGTAAAATATTTTAGGAAAAAATTCTTTACACTTTAGTTAAAGATTTTTGTATTGTTAAAAGTAAATAGTACTAAGAATAACCTTTAGTTTACTTAAGTTAAATTTAAATGAAGAAATAATAAAAATAACCTCACACATCTCACACATACAGCCGTCTGATCCCAAACTACTCGTAGTCAGAGCCTGTACTATGGTAACCAGACTGCTGATAAACATACTTATATTTTTTTAAACCATACTTATAATATATATATTACACCCAGACACAGAACAAATGATCGTGCTCATCACACAATATTTGTCCTGCATGGGAATTGAACCTCCAGCTTAGCAGTCAGGGTCACTAACCACTAGACCACCAGGCCTGTTTGACACGATATACAACCCGCTTTAAATATAGTTTTTTATATGTTTAGTTTTATTCTTCATTTCTAATCAATGCAATCAGAATGTGACACAGCGAATCGTGGCAGGGTTACAACTAGTTTAATATTTAAATCAATCCTAGTGACATGATGTGCCTTTTTCCTGTAAATTAACGACAGTGTATGTGATAGAAATTACACCTTTAAAACAAAACAAGCATGATCTAATCTAATATATAAAATTCTCGTGTCACGGTGTTAGAAGTTGAACTCCTCCGAAACGGCTCTACCGATTTTCGTGAAATTTTGTGTGCATATCGGGTAGGTCTGAGAATCGGACAACATCTATTTTTCATACCCCTAATATATATTTTTTGACATATTTTTTTTTAAATAATGTATATGGCAAAACAACGTTTGCCGGGTCAGCTAGTCTTATTATATAAAAAAATTAAGTTGCTTCTATACGCTTCAAAAACTCGAAAACATCTGCACCAATTGAGCTCATATTTTGACACGAAATGAAACCCGCTTCAAAGATTATTTTAATAAAAATTTTGCGTCAGTTGCCAATGTGCCACAGCAAAGCGTGGCAGGGCTATTGTACAATAACTATCGACACATATTCTGCAGTGATTCTTCAACTGTTTCTGGACGTAAGTCAGTCGAATTCAGCGCGGCTTCGCGGGCACACGTTTATTTATACACCGCCCTTCAAGACCGGCACGCTTCCGAAATATAGCTCAAGTTCAATTCAATAAAATAGAATTCTATTGCGTCGAATAATGTTTAATTAAATTCAAAACTATATTTTTGTTTTAAAAATGGAAGTAGATCGTATTTTATATATTTTCGGCAGTTTCACGCGGAAGAAACAGGATAAAAGGAAGTCTTTGGAACAACTTTCTTTGAGTGCTGGCAGCAGTCCTCTTCATGGAAAAGCTTCTAGCCGTCCTCAAAGCCAGAATCTGACCATCGCACCTAGAACTTCGGCGTACAATGAGGGTAAAAAGAGTAAAGCGAAGGAATGGGACTGCGCGATTTGTAAGAAGGAGCTTGTGGAACCTAGACTTCTTAGCTGTCTACACAACTTCTGTACCAGATGCCTTCAAAGTCTGCATCGGGAGGGGGAAGCGGAGATGTGGAACGAAGTGGACGGTGAGTAACGATTAAAATTATGTAGAAAATATTTTTGGAGTTTCCGTTTTTATGAGTGTTTTTATTACTGTATTTGCAAAAAAAAACGGAAACATTAAAAATTTCATATTAAATTTATAGCAGGGCCGTATTAGACTAATAAATGTGTTACCTACACTAAATTTAAAATAATATGTCTATATAATCTGTGGAGGACCCATGTTTGTTGATGCAGTTACTATACTCTGACAATGCCGTTTCTTTTTGACAGTTACTTGAGAACGTAACTGAGTTTCTGAAATTAAATTTTAAAGCACCCCGTCAGGAAAACATATATATGTACTTAATCTATTTCATTTGATTATACTATAACTTACACCTACTATAAAATAAATTATACCTAATTCTCTTTTTTACTCTATTTACTCATCTTCGTCTACTTTATGCATTAGAAAGGGTTACTATTTCCAAAAATACTTTAAATTATTGTTAGGGACCTTGTACCTACTTAAAGTCCAAAGTTATATTCTTAGTATTTAATTGTTTTTCCAATAAACAACATCAAAATGCTGAATTTCAAGTTCAAATTTAGAGAAATGAATTAAAGAAAAATGAATCACGATAGAAAAGCCAGCCCTTAACGAATTCTTAGGGTTTTATTCATTAATATTAGACTCTAAATAATGATAAGTTTAATCTAAAAACAGATATGACAGGAATCTCTAAGTCAGTGCAGATAGTTCTTTATTATGTAGTGGTTTATGGAATACATATTTTATTTCTTACTAGCTTTTGCCTGCGGCTCCTTGTGAAAGCGTAATAAACAAATAAACAACTCACTTTAACATTTGTAATATAAGAATGGAATATGGATTATTACACACATTATAGGAACACACATGCAACACTAACGTCCAAACAATTTATGTTAACAAATCAATCGAATAAGGGTACAAAAAGACAGCTTTTTTAGCCGACTGCCTAGGAAAGGTAGTTTTACTTATATGACTGTCTATGATTGGTTAAAACTACGTGACCTTCAACGAACTCGTTACGACTTGAATGTCAGCATTAAAATAAGCATCGATTGATGCGAATGCTGATTGCTGATATTGAAAACAATGCTGATTATCCACGGATACTGATGCTGATACTGACATTCGAAACAACCCTGATCTAAATACACACAATTCTTTTATAATAACCCTGCATTGGGACGCTGCGATAGTCGGGTACGGAGAATCACTATAGACTCATAAGACTTGAATGTTACTTTCTAGCAATCTCGTATTTTCATAAGTTCCTTTGTTGTTCCAATATAGTTTTTTATAGATAACAGATACTTTTTCCAACCACGTTAATCGCACGTTAAAATTACAACAACAAAAAACACTTATTTGAGGACATCTGCTGTTCTTTAACTGACTATTTAAATGGATCTGATTCAATACAGAAATTCCTATCAAGTGTTTGGAGATTGAGATTCCAACAGTTCATTTTATATTGGACATTTTATTTACGTCAATAAAATACGATGTTAATGTTCCTGGTAGCCAATTTAATAGGAGAGTTAGTATGTTTAAAGGAGCTATAAAATATTTATTGACTATTAATTCGTCAACTATCAATAGATATTTCAGGGATCAGAGACCTTCTACCCTAAATAATAACTTAATTTATCTCACACTCGGCAGTCTGACCCCAAACTAGGCAAAGCCTGTACTATGGCAATCAGACTGCTGATAAATATACTTCGATATTTCTAAACACATACATATTATATTTATTATATATTACACCCAGACACAAAACAAATCATCGTGCTCATAACACAATTATTTGTCCTGGGTGGGAATCGAACCCACGACCTCAGACTTAGCAGTCAGGGTCACTATCCACTAGCTAGACCAACAGGCCCGTCAAAGATGCCGCCTCGCAATGTCTGTTTATCTTTCTTCAAGTCACCTTAAGGCTTTATCGAGACTGAAAACTACATTCATAAGCAGGGCTGACATCAGGCAGATGGCCGGCCGTGAAATAGACCAGCCAAACCCTAGCCAAGCCAAGGGTTTGGCTTCTTTCTTTTGTACTTCTTTTATCTGCTGACCTGCGATATATAACTGGGATAAAAGCAGGGAGGTGATGATTTTCCCCTTAAATTATCGGTTGCTGAATTTCCTAGTTCCCATCCGTGGGGTGACGGATTAAGAATACGGAATGCCAACTCTATTCATCCCGTGGGTGTCGTAAGAGCCGATTAAGGATTATTAAAGGCTGTTGATGATGTCATGAATTTCCTAGTAGACATTAAACAGTGCCAGAAGTACAAAGTTTTTGTATGTAAACATTTCTTCTGTGACCTGTTTTTGATGCGAGCAGAAAATATATCTATGCTAATGTTATAAAGTTGAAGAGTTTGTTTGTTTGGTTAAACGCGTTAATCTCAGAAACTACTGGTTCGAATTAAACAATTCTTTTAGTGTTAGATGACCTATTTATCGAGGGAGGCTAAAGGTTATGCGTGGTGGTCTTGCGTAGTTTGCTCCCTTAGTCGGCTCTTACGACACCCGCGTAGGTCAGCTGGTATTATATAAATGAAATCAAACTTAATTACTGGTCTAACCAAATAACCAGCACCGTGAATATAAACACACACAAAAAAGTTTTTGTCGTGTTATGAGTAATGTTTATTGTTGTAAACACATTTGTTACCGCGCTGTCTATTTTTTTATTCGTTTGTGTACGTTTGCCACCCACAGTCCAGGGAATCCCCTTTCGAATGTAACCAAAATAGGTATTAAGACTAGGTGTATTTTTCGAAACTCGCAATTTACAAGAAATGTTCGTTCACCTCGTGCCAGGTGGACGAACATGGATGTTAAGTGGAGAAGTGTAGAGAATGGAAGCGAGTGTATCCATACAGAGGCGATGGACCTGTTGGTGTAGTGATTAGTGAGTCTAACTGCTGAGATAGAGGTCGTGGGTGCGATTCCCACCCTAGAAAGATAATTCTGTGATGGGCACGATCATTTATTTTATGTCTGGGTGTAATTAATCTATAATTATGTATCTATTTAGAAATATATAACGATGTATATCAGTAGTCTCATCACCATAGTACCTAACGTACGATAAGTTATGATTTTATGCCAAAGTTGTACTGTCGTAAATTGTTTACATAGATTTATTATTTATATAGAAGTCCATTATATGTTTTTTTATTTGTATTTACACATCTCACACAAGGCCGTCTGGTCCCAAACTAACAAAGCCTGTACTATAGTAACCAGACTGCTGATAAACATACTTATATATTTCTAAATATATACATATTAGAGATAAATTACCCCCAGAGAAATGTTCGTGCTCATCACACAATATTTGTTCTGGGTGAGAATTGAACCCACGACCTCCGGCTTAGCAGTCAGGGTCACTAACCACTAGACCAACAGACCCGTGATCTATGACTTTACTTATATAAAAAACGATTTCAATTATTATTTTTATGAAATAAAGTTTTATGAAATGAAGCTTGACTTTGACTTTAACATCTCTTGGTCCCATTGTGGGAGCAGTTCCAAAACGCCAAATTGTGTACCTGCGGTTCTCCGGACCGATAAAACCTTCCAACCTTCAAGAAAATAGCTTACTTAAATATCAAAGACTGCACGGATGGCTTAGTGGTTTAAGCGGTCGCCACGCCGCCGCTTACTACTACGCTGAGCGTTGTGGGTCTGACCCCCACATGGGACGACTATTTGTGTGATCCACAAATGGTTGTTCTGAGTCTGGGTCTCCTTTTTGTCATGTATGTTTGTAAAGTCCTCCGCGACACAGGATTTATCCCTAGTGCGGGAGTTGCCTGTTTTAAAAAATAAAAAAAAGGCCGGCAACGCGTTTGTGACTACTGTTTCAGGCGGTTATGGGCGGAATAGTCGCTTTCCATCTGTATCAACTGTCCTGTATCAAACTACGCAGAACAACCGCACTGCAAAGAGAAGGAAAACTTGAAACAAACCCTATACCAACCTGTCTGGCCAGCGTGGAATTGTAGGCCAAAACCTCCTTTCTAAGGAGAGTCCTATGTATAACAGTAGACAAGTAAAGGTTGTTGATGTGATGTAATGTGATTAATAAAAGAAAATAAACTGACACGATGTCGAGTATAAAATGTATGAAGTTCTTTGTAATTACCTATTTATATCTGTACAGCTGTTTTAGAAGTATGTACAATACGCGCATAGTGACAATCTAACCGATGAAGCTTGAAGCACGCCAGCATAATGCGAAGCCACACAACACAGACCCCGACCTAGTACATAATCCCATCACGAATCGATTGCACGCCGATGTCAAGTTAGCTCTTTTATGTGATTTTACTCGATGATATTGAAAAACCTTCTACTTCCGTAATGAACAGTGATGATAATGCGGAAGGTTTTGGCAGCCTTTTCAAATCTCTAGTTGATAAAAATATGAATTGCCGTTAGTCATCATCATCAACAGCCTTTAATAGTCCACTGCTTGCCTCTCCTTAGAAAGGAGGTTTCAGCCTACTATACCACGCTGGCCAGACGGGTTGGTTTAGGGTTTGTGTCAAGTGTGGGGTGCTAGGCTAGAAAACCTCTCCGTGGTGCACCCTGGGAAACGCTGGCGATGGCACTGTTTCCTCCTTGTCCACTTGGAGGAGAGGATTATCGCCAGCGGCTAATATTCTAGCAGAAGAGGAAGCCGTTCATCGGTTCATCGGCATCGGCTCGGGTGGGTTTCCCCTCCACCCGCATTAGTTTGGCCAGCCGCGAGGGGGCGGCGTCCGCGTGTGCCGGACGTTGCCTAAAGAGAGGAAAATTTTGAGACGGAGCCCGCACCAGGAGCGGGCTGGCGCTAGGAGGGGTCCGGATGTCTTAATAACAGCTGTTCCCGGATCCCTCCTGTTACAGGCGCAGAGTGGCACACCGTGTGGTTTTAGTCGGTCCGAGTCCGACACACCACCCCGCCGCAAACCCCGTGGGGGGTGACGG